TAAACTAATTTCGTTTATTGTTGTTGGTAATTTAGGATAATTAATTGCACGACGACGATAGAGCGATGCATCAATGTTGGAAAGTGTTGGAAATAGACTACCAGTTGGAAGGCCAGGATTTTCGACTTTTGCTTTCACAATCTCTTGAGAATAAATTTTAGGAATTGTAGCTGTTTCTTCACGTGCACGTTTTTGCATTCTTCCAATAATTGTATCAACAATAAATTTATTAGTATCTTGTGCACATGTCATCATCATCATCATCGGTCGTGCTTTTGAGGCGCGGCAATAAGATTGTTCCAAGCTCTTTTATCTTTCGCATAGGTGGCTATTTCGTTGGCAGTAAGTTCGACCTTTTTGTCTGGCAACAGATGATGTGATATTGGTCATGTGGGCTTCTGATTGTTTGATACCCAGCATGATTCGATAGCAGGTTCTTGCGAATACGTCCATCTTTTTTGTCAAATCTGAGGGTAGAACACAAGTTTCGCAGCCGTATAGTAGGATGGACACACTTGCGGCATTGAAAAGTCGAATCTTGAATTTCACTGTTGGTTTGGGTGATCTCAGTATTGACTGGAGCTTCCTAAATGCGACCCATGCAAGTGCAATTCTCGCTTTGACGTCTTTTTCAGTGGATTCCATGAAAGAACCCAGGTATTTGAATTCCACAATCAACGGTCTTGTCAACGTTAATTTCTAAGCCAACTTTTCCAGCGTTAATTCTTAACGCATCCACTTGTTCTTGGGCTCTGGCTGCGTCGTTTTCGAGTAGAGCAATGTCATTCGCGAAGGCAAGATCGCTGATTTTGTGTTCAAGTTGAGATGTTGTGCTACGCAGAGTGCGTTGGCCAGGTGTCTTCTGTTTGGCGCCGTTGTGTGTGATGTATCCAAAATCGCGTGCAGAGAGTTTGGAGACGTAGTCTATCACGATTATGAACAAGAACGGTGCTAAAACATCACCTTGCAGTACTCCTGTTGTAATCTTGAATTCCTCTGAAAGTTGATCTTCGACGTATACTCGGCTAGTTGAATTATCGTAGAGGACCCTAATTGCTAAGACAATGTTTCCCGGGATTCCATAATGTCGCAGTATTGCAAACATCATTTCCCTGTCGATAGAATCAAATGCCTTCTTGAAATCGATGAACGTTATGTATAGTGGATTGTTGTCGATGTGCGCTCCATCCATTATTCTTCTCAGGATATGAATTTGTTGGTTGCAGCTGCGGCCGGTCCTAAAGCCCGCTTGGTTTTTCCTGAGAATTTTGTCGATTGGTTCGCGAATTCGATTCAAGAGTACCCGGTTATAAACTTTAGCTGCTACGGACATCAGGCTGATGCCCCTGTAATTGGTCATGAGTTGTAGATTACCTTTTTTGGGGAGCGGTATTATCAAGCTTGATGTCCATTGCATCGGTGCATAATGTTCTTTGTAGACCATCTGACAGATGATGGTTAGTTGATCTACTACGAAATGTTCACCATTTTTTAGTACTTCTGCTGTCATGGCGTATTCAGGTCCAGGCGACTTATTTAGTTTTAGGGCAATGATTGCTTGAGTCACTTCCTTCGCGTTATTTGTGTTGTTACAGTCGCGGGGTTGTTTGGTGATGGAGTTGGATAGTTTGCTGTGTTCTCGTTAGCATTTTTGTTGTTTAGCAGCTTGCCCCATTCGGTGAGAATATCTGCTTTGGAGTTTGGTAAGGATCCATCCAACTTCAGGACTTTGATGACAGATTTTATACATTCGCCGCTTATGTCGTTTACGAGTTGCCAGGTCGGTCGCATTTGGTGCCTTTTGGCGGCTTCCTCGAGTTCCTTGAGCTGAGCTTCTTGACATCTTGCTTGATCTTGATCATAAGAGATGGATACTTCCTGCTGTAGTTGCTTCCACTTGGTCTTGTCAGAATCTTTTTTTGAAGATTTGTACTTCAACTTTGCCTTTTCTAAAGTGTCCAGTAGCTTGAGTGTTTTTGAGATCACCCAGTTCTTTTGTTTTTTCCTGGATAGTTTGCCCAGGATTTTCTCACTCGTTCCCTTGAGCGCGGTGTCGAGTGCGGCAGTCCTTCCCTGGATCTTTTCTTCTTCACTGTCGCCGGTAACTTCGTCGAGGAGTAAGTTGAAGTATGAGTTAAGTGCACATGTATGAGTTGTTTCATTTTTGATTATTGATAAATCCTGTGAGCATAATGATATTGTACTTGAACAATTACGATCACGACATCTCCATTGATTACTTTTTTTATTTTCTCGTTTTTTCGTATATTGATAACAATTGTAGTTTAGTACTGCATTACCTTTCTCAGTCTCTGTGAAACGTAACATTTTGGTATGATATAGTAATTCACCTAATCTTCTAACATTTATATAGGGTACTGAGTATCCTTTCACTTAATCTTCTAACATTTATATAGGGTACTGAGTATCCTTTTCAAATCTTAGCGCATCTTTTTTAAATTATACTGATTATACTGTTCTGAGCATCGTTCTCTGTATTGTAGTATATTCAGCCTACCAGGCATAGCAAAATATGTGTGCTTCTACTTTTCATCATGATAAATTAATCATTCCTTGATGTGAAAAAGAAGCTGAAAATTATACTTTAAATATCTGGGACGAATTGAGAGTTAAATATATATACAAATTTAGTTGGGGCGAACTGAGAAAAATATTTATGGGACGAATTGAGAGAGACTAATTTGGGACGAACTGAGAGGACACCGTCTAGTTATTATAGTTTTCTTTCATTGTTACGTTTGATATACACCCTGCCACTAAATAAACGGAACACCTACATCTATCTTGTTTTAAACGCTTTTTCTCAACAAATTTTGTTGAAGGCATGTGTAGAAGCAGATGGAGGCCATTTTGAATAAATCTTTTTATTT